ACATATTGGTACCTATTTTTTGAAACTAATGGCATTTGCTATTTTAGGAAGAGTGCAAGGTTTTCTCACCTAACTATTAATGCCTCTGAAATTATTCCTCTCAAGGTTCAAGGTTCGCGATTCGCAAGGGACGGAAGAGGCTTTTTGCCCATCGCACGTCTCGTGTGAAGATTGAGCGTTCATATAAAATAAGATAGGCTTCACTCATATGGAATTAGACTTGATAGGGTCTTATAGGCAGATATTTTGCAAGAACATACCCACTTTTTGCCTAGTTACCTACGACCACATGGCTCCCTTTTTTCGTTTTATCCATGAAGGCAACTAACCTATTGCTAAAGTTATCACATAAGGAAAAGGGACTTAAGGTAGAGGTTCTCAACCTTCGCTAAGAAACGATACACATGTCGGGATATGAGCTATCAGCGGCACCCATCTAAATCCACAGACAATAAAATAGGCCTACCAAAAATAAGGAAAACCAATACCTCTGAATTCGTTCAAGAATGGTATATTCTGAGCTGCCTCTTTCCAAGACAATAATTTCCAGTTTAATTAAAGTTCTTCATTTTTTGTTAATTTGTCAATGTGCCCGTGCCTACCTCTGGCTATACAGAAAATCAAGCTACGGCTCAATATTTGAAGTGAACCCACTTAAATCATTTGTATTGCTCGAAGAGACATCAATTTTCATTTTAAAAATTCTCATTTAGATAAGAATAAGATAATGTAGACATACTCGGAAAAAGCTATCAGGATATACATTTCAACAACTACATTTTATCTTGGCATTCTTCCTTGAAAGAACACTCTTAATGAAAATTCATTTCAGGGAAATCCAACATGAGTACATAAAAAAAAATAAAAATTGACTCATTATGTGACTTTGGCACACAATTTGATTTAGAGCGTAGGTTTGGATAGGTCAGAAGTACGATGCTTTGAAAGCGGTTCTACAAACGGCTTGCTGGCTACTCCTAAAAAATTGGTCCTCGATCGCACCAGGGAAGGAGCATTGCAGCCTCCTGGCCTTCTTGCCCTCATTTGGCGACAGGCCAAAAGAAAAAGAGTTCCCCACCCACCCAACACCCACGACGTGCTTGTCGGTCTCTCGCAGCACCCAAGTCGATAACAGCCGACCTAACGCATTTCTCTCTTTTATTACCCTAAGAGTACCCTACAAGTTTTTCCGAGAGACTTGGCTGCTTCCAACATTGACAGGGAGAAGTAAGGAGAATGACTAATTGGATGGGACGAGTTTCCACGAGTGGAAGTAACAAGTAACATACCCGTATCAGCTAGTCCATTCTGGTCGCATTTCGACCCAATCCTTCAGCATCAAGAAATAAATAGGGGAGGAGGAGGGGGGGGACAATGAATGCTGCATATCGGTCTCTATATTTCTGGATTCCTTCATCGACGAGGTGAAAGATGGTACCTTCTTCGATCCAGGACCCATTCACAGGTACGAAGCCACTGCGACGTTCCCTCAACCACGCAGCTGGAAATCTGCCGGGCATATTTCAACGATTTTTCTCAAGAACCATTATCATTCTCGAGCGAATTCCTCGGAGATGGAAAATGCCGCAGGGTTTGTCGATATATCGAGCCGGGAGGAATAGGCAATGCTGTGAACGATGGTGGGATTCACGATCGTGACGACAACAGTCGCGACGGTAACGATCAGACGTTGCACAAAAGTCGCAGACTTTACCTGCGACTTTTAACTTTAAACGAAGAGCGCCTACTCAGCGCTCTGCAGCACGAGTGAACCGATTTCTTACTCTTCACCAAAAAGTTGGATAGAGGTGGCCTTTCTCAGTCGACTTCGTCTCGGTTGCAAACCGCGAAGAAACCGGAGAGATCTCAGTCTGATACGATTCGGGATAGGGGATCTTTTCATTTCAGACTCGGTTTCCCATCGGAGAGAATCCAGAAGTTCCAAACGAGGCCTGGACACTCTTCGTCTACTACCTTTCCGCACGAAAAGTCTGAACGAAGAGAACAATGTTGCATGCACCATACAGGGTGTATCAGAATAGATTCCCCAAACTTGGCTGCTCGTAACTCAAGAACTACAAAACTATAGAAACGTAAAACAAGCTTTAGCACAATCCTCTGACTATTCTTTACTTGCAGTAATAACATCAATATGAAATTATTTTCGAGAGCCTTTAAACCGTTCACCTCGTACATCGAGGCACTCTTGACAGCGGTCGGAGATATCACCGAACGTAGAGTATCACCTAGCGATATCTGAGCGTTTGGGACCGTCGTGCCATGCGATGAGAAGAACGCATGGCGAATCAGGGTAAGTGGCGTGGAGAACATTCCAGACGTGATTTAACAAAGGTTCATCGTATTAGCATCCAGCCTCGGTGATGATGATCTTGCTTCTCCTTCTACAGAGGAAATGTGAGCACGGTTTCTTGTTGGCTGTGCACTTCTCCCGAGATTATATTCAATTACGGCTAACGGGGTGGTGCCAGACGACGAGTGTCATTTGTCATTCGCGCATTCTAGGCCGACAATTTTTTTTTATATGACCTTAAGGTACATCTAAACTTTAGTTTTGAACGAGGGAGAAACAATTACAGCATGGAGAAACGAACAGAGCCATGTCGACCGGCGATTCCGAGAAAGGAGTAAGAATTGCGTTCCCATATGGATTTTCTCTCCATGATCCATGTGCATCATGGATGGTGCACCACTTCGTCTATCCATTACTTATTTGACGATCCACCTCATGTTTCTCTACCATCTGACGTGTCATTCGTGTGATTCGCTGGATTGCAAAAACTTGAAACGAAGAAGTGCGGGGAGGAGAAAACAATTCTCAACCCCGAAACTTGCAAGTTACAAGCCCTGGTGAGAAAAATACGAGGTTGACAGCAATTTTATTGCCATCTCAAAGGAAATATAAAAAACTTGAAACGAAGAAGTGCGGGGAGGAGAAAACAATTCTCAACCCCGAAACTTGCAAGTTACAAGCCCTGGTGAGAAAAATACGAGGTTGACAGCAATTTTATTGCCATCTCAAAGGAAATATGGATACTCTCGGAGCTAATATTGAACGACTTCATATTCATCAACGAATCAGGAAGAACTTCCACTGGTGCATGTCAACAAAATCCGATGCATCTGCTCGTAGATAGATAATCGCTGATTAAAAAGGCTGACATTTTTTCTTTCGGTTCAACTTGGAATGTGAACAAAAATTGCGTGCTCCCCTCAAAACACAAAGCTCATCTACACCTCGCAATGTTCACACCCAGATGCTATTTTCTTAGCTCTGTGGATAGTTCATCTCTTACTTTCGGTTCACTTAACACTCTTCATTGTGCCCTATTTCTCTATCATTCGATCCGCTCTCTCTTGGGATAGTACGAGTATGGAATACCCAAAATCCAAAGAAGATTGTGTCCCGGTTTTTCTTTGTGTTCAAACTGTTTTGGCCAGTCTAAAAAGACGGCTGCATATGTTTTCATGAGGTTGAAAATAAGTTTGTATAGCAGACACTACATGGCCCCCCTACTCCTTTTCCTACCCCGTACTTCCCTCGTGATGGATAATGTCCAACTCTCTCTCTCTTCAGGTGAGCACCCAGTTCGAACACGCTGACCTGAATGGGATCTTTTATTATTCACTAGCAGTCCAACAGCCACCCTTCCTCACTTCTCTCGAGCCAGCCATGATGAAGCGGTAGAAGGGAATGTCCTCTACGACTGTTCAAAGGTGCAAGGTTCTGGTAGAGACGTAAAGAGGCATTTTTGACCATCAGTGAACCTGCTGGGTTCATCAACCCAGCTGAGCGCTTACTCAATCGGGTTGGTGGCGGTTCATTCAGCGACTCCGTTCACGTACCCACCTGAATCCCATGGATCCACAGCTCAGATATTCATACGAGCTGTGGATTCACACAGTCAGCTCCATCCCAATCAGGAGAGGCCAGAGTGCTGCACGTGAGCATTCGTTTGAAGCAAGGAGTACCATACACCAGTGGCAGAGTTACCTCTGCATAGTTTTCTTTATGCATTCTGATACATACAGGAATTTTTTGGGGGGGAGGGGGGGGCTCTTGTCCTTATGTTGCCTTGTCCTTGTCGCCCTTTGGTTACTTCAACCCCACCAACTTCATAATTCAAATAGTCCCTTCCCATTCCAAAATTTCCAATATTTTTGCATGAAAAGAGATATGGGTCAAGGACTGACCTTGAATTAGTGGGTGAAAACTACTCCTGAATCAAGGTTTGCTAATGGAACTAAAAAAACTGGTAAAGCAAGGGAAGCAAAATGCAGGGGGGAGGGAGGGCACTGTGTTGGTTAAGAGTGATTGCATTCAGAAGTTGGAATAGGAGTACAAGTCAAAACTTCAGTTGTAGATGTGAAACTTTTCACCTCCTCCTTGCTTCATTTTGGGGAGTGTCCAGACACCCAGGACACCCTCTCCCCCACTACATCCCTGCATGCATAAATTTTTAAAGATATGCATCAAATTTTAACCAGAAATGTTAAGCATTTAATGTGCACCTGCCTGCAATTTGAAGAATTTGAATACTGTCAAGGAAAAATGCAGTCATTTTTTGTAAGTAAATGGTGATGGGTGAGACATAAGAGGCACATTCATCAAATAGACAACCTGCAATAAAGGAGCACCTGGAACTGGTGTTTACATGAATCCTGTCTTCTCCATGTAGCGACAATTTTTATAACTGAGAGCTCAAAGTGTGCGTAGATGCAGCGTGGATGGTTAGTTTTCTTTTGCCACTCACTCTGAATTGATATTTCTTGGCTTGAAGTAGCTCAATCTGGGAGTTGAGCAGACAGTTAGAAGGTTAATGAGATACAAAAGCAGAGTTCCTGATACTCATAAAATCCAATGAGCAACTTCAACAACACATTTTTTCATAAACCAGAGAGCTCCTTACCTAAATCTTTGCTCCCTGAAACTTCCCTTTTGAAGTTTTATTTCACAGAGAATACCTTCAGTACTCATCTGAATGCACTTCATTTTTATTAACCCAAATACCAAAAATTAGGATGACTTACACAAAATCTTAATTTCTGAAACACAAAATCCAGCACTCTTCAAAGAAAATTAAATTTTTGAGAAATTAAGCATCTCCCAACACCTTCTTTAATGACCGACTGGAGTTTCCAAGTGTAAAGTGTATTCTTGAAATAAGCCAGCTTCACAGAAACAGCAAGAAAATTGAAAAACCCTAACTGGAAGTAGACTAAAAGGAGGCCTGCTTGATTTTATGAGTAGAGTGCACTGACACATACTTGTCAATGTAACATTGACCTCTAGTGTAAATTGACATGAAAATTAAAAGGCCCCTTTGATATTCTGGGGATAGTTATGTTTGTAAATGAAGACTTGGGAGCTTTAGATTGCCTGCATTTAAGTAAGGGAAGATTTTTTATTGTTCCTATCAATAATAAGGTAAATTACAGCACTGATCCATACTGCAACTGTGAAGCATTGATAGGACAAGAATAAGTCATGATGCATAATCCAAGCTATATTATAGAACTGCCACAACTGCAAAAAAAAATCAAGCAGGCCTAGAATGTTAATCCCTCTCCCCATCTGCCATTCCATGGAAAACTTTCTCATACAAACGTCACCATGTCATCAATACATGATTTCACTTCAAACATCCATAGCTGCAGTGACAAAAGCAGCAGAGATTCACTCATTGCATCAATTTCAGGGAACAGATCTCTTTTTTTTTGTACTAGTTTATCATACTTACACAAGCAAGTGTTGCCCAGAGTGTGAATATATTTCCTAACTATGGATTTCTCTCTACTTGTCTATCTGCCTGCCCAAGGGAAACCATTCTTAACCTAGTTTAAAAAGAAGGCATGAGAGTTTCAGAGTGGCAAGGTTCAGCAGCGTAGACATATTTAAATTTCTCGAGTAATATACTCAATATCATTAACCTCAACTTTTTTAGGATTCCTAACTTACTTGCTTTAAGGATTGTAGATGACTTTCTCTACATTCTCCAACCCCTTCAAGCTACATATCTATCACCTAAAAGAAATGCAACAGTAAATTTTTGCTATCTCCTGCCACTACAGAATGGAATGTTTGAAGGAAAATCATCCCAATTAAACATCTAAGCACATCATGCATATTTATGTCCAAAGATAATCTACTGAATTGAGGTTGGTAGTTCCAAGGGCTTGAAAACGTAGATTTCTCAGGATGGTAGCAGATGGGCAGAGGGGCAGGAGATGCTTTAGGAGAGAAAAGTGCGAACAGTGCCCTGAATGCGGGTGCGACAGATAGGACAACTGGAAAGGGCAACAGAGCATTTGGGGCAGGCCACAAGGTGTCCACATGGCAAAAACACAATCCCCACTTCTGCATCCAGACACACTTTACACAGATTGGATTCTGATGGAGTCGTCTTCTCATCCTCTGATGGTTCTGCAATGGAAAAAATTACCCTCAGAGTCAAGGAAGTTTAGAAACTGCTCAGAATGATCATGAATCCAGTAACAGAAAGAATACCAAGATAGGTCACTTTGCACCTTGGCTTGTACACAGTAAAAGTTTATTGGATACAGCTAGTCCAAAAAAGTCTAAGATGTTCTTGAGGTGGGGTTCATTCAAGGATAAACATGGATATCACACATTTCTGAGATAAGCCTAGCATTACCATGGAGACATCTGATATTCCATGTAAGGAAGTGGGATATTTTGCTTGGTATCCATCCAGGGCTTTAATATATTTGACTTATTAAGCTCAATACTTGTGGTAGGCAGTATGACAATTAAGTGCCGTTAGTTTGAAAAAATATGTTCAGGTCCAATACTGCATAAAATACTGTCATTTGATGGGACAATTCTCTTTTATATAAGAATGCACCTGAAGAAATATCCAAATGAACTTGACAAAATATTTTGTTGAAAAATACAAGACATGGCAAAGACCACAATTCTGGTTCCATAAACCTCTGCTATTATGAGAACCAAATTCTAATACTTGCCTAACGCACAAACCCAAAAGTAACAGCTGTGAAAAATGTTAACACTGAGTTAACTGCATTTAGAGAGTTCCTCATTGAGAAATGTCTAGAATTTATATACCAGAGATTAGTCCAAAAATCAAAACTAAGGTGTATGAAGAAAATTTACTTTTATTTGCAAGTGTCACAAACCCTAGCAAATAAAAAAAAAATTTTTTCAGGGGGTTTATTATGCCCATATATAAAATAGCAGTTATGGGTTAATAGAAATCATATAAGAGCCAGTGAAGTCAAGTATTTAAGGTAAGGAAACACTTAGCAGGATGGCTATGTATCATGGAGAACATCTCTTATATCACTCCATTCTTCAGGCTGGCATTATAGCAATGTAAAAACCACAGAATTCCCTGTCCTGCACAATTGAAGCCTGATAGAACTTATGCAGGTATGCTTTCTGGTGCTATGAGCTATTAAGCTAACTTAAGGTTGGGTTAAGCTAGGTAATAGAGTACCCATATCTGAAAGCATATAGCAAATCTTCAAACCTACTTTTCCAAGAGCTACTAAGTCTTATCCAAGCATTAAACAGTCCATTTCTGCTGTTGGCTGGGATTGTCCATTAACGTGAAAGGAACATACTCAAATTCTGGCCTTTCTAATTTTTTATTGGAGGGTGGAGTAGCCACTGCAAACTTTCAGACCTAATGACATGCAGGTTCACCTATTGGAAGCATGAGGACATTACTTATGAAGAGAAGACAATATTACACAAAACGTAACTACACCTAGACAGGAAATGAAACCAACTTTTATAGGGCCCTAAATAAATAAATGAATAAATTCATTCAGAACATGTCTTTTATCTGTTCTTATGATATACTTTATGACTATAAAGTGCCTTGAAATGGAGCAGTTAAATGGTCCTTATCAAATGATAGTACAGGTACAATAGACAGCTTAACAGTCTACTAGTAAGCTTTCTGGCTCTCCACCAGACACAATGGGGCAGATAACCAACATTCTGCTGAAGTGATCCTCTCATACATGCATTAACAGCATTAAAGTCCTTAACATATATCTCCACTCATACAGGAGCTATTATTGTGAAACATTCACCATTTATGCATGAGTATGTTTCCCACTGATTCTCAAAATTTAATCCAAATTTGTTGGGACAAAGCAACACCATCAGCAATTACTGGAAAGAAGTTAAACATGAGAATAAACAATGAGAATGAACAAGAGCTACTGCCAGTAGTGGAGTGGAGAAAACACTTGAGTGTCGTCCTTCCTGGTCATCAAGATCACTTCAAACTCTTATTTCATGCCAATTCATTCTTTAGGCTGGTCATCTCTTGCAGATACTTTACAAAAAATATCTCCAGTTGAAGCAGTTACTTAGGCCATGAGTAACTGAAATCTCTACAATGTCTAGACCACCAAAGTTAATTGTGTTTAAAGAGATGGATCAGAACTTTCATTAAATTAATCTGATTATAATTATCCACAAGAAGAATGAAACAGACCTCTTTTGGATTTCTTGGGGGAGCTTTTGGAGGTCTCATCCTTGTCCTTGGTGTCTGTTGCTTCTTCAGCAGAGTGGTAACCAGTTTCTTGAGATACTCCACTCCCAGGACTAGTGCCTGCTGTTGCTGCAGCCAGCATCCCAGCTTCATCTTCACCTGATAACCTTGTTTCCTCATCATACAGTGACAGCTCACTTTCTTGAGGCGAAGGACTGCAAGTAAGGCAGGACAGATTTTGGATTGATAAATCTTTTTACTCCTAAACTCTCTATAAGAGCCACTCATGACGAGACCATTAATAAAAAATGGCTTGTTCTCTCCCTCAAAGAATCTCCTGCCGTGTTGGAATTTCAAGTGCATTTTAAGATAAACAAAAGTAAATACACTCAACTCTGCATATTGAAATACTCATGGGACCAGTGAAATTTATATAGAATAATCAGGAGTGTTCCAATGGCCACAACTATCTGCTGTGTCATACTGTAAATCATTTGAAAATCACTTCATGGAATACCATGCAATCAGAGTTTTTACAACTGTTTTGGTCATCAAACACACCAAGAACCAGTATCTCTTCAACTTGATGCTTCACACTTAACCCACATTTACTTTTTACACACAATCAACTTAGAAGAGCCTTGTCAACATTCCAAAGAGCTGAGGAGCAGGATGGCTCAGACTTTTGGACCCCATTGCAGCAAGCAATAGATGGTTACATCTGATCCATATGAGTTTCCTGTGCATGGAAAGAGAAAGACAGCATCTACACCACCTTCAATGAAGAACCATCAATGATGATACTGGACTCCTTAAGAGTTTGGTGACCTATATACTCAAGCCTTCAGCTGAAATTGTCCCCTGAAGGGGGATTTACAGAACTGAATCTAGATGAGAAAAAGAAAAACAGAATAAAAAATAAAAAGGCGAAGGAGACACACCTCCGATTCTGCTCCATTTCAGCAACATATCGGTGCTGCTCCTGGAGGTGGAGAGTCTCCTCAATGAGGTTTTCAACCCTAGGAAAGGGCAGACCAGCATTTTCGAGACGATGCCGGATTGCCTGTTTCACCAGTCCTTGGTCCAGACCCATATCCAATGCACGCTGCAATGAAAGTGCAAAACCTATGCATGATCTGGATAGTAATGCAAAGGCTTTGTGAGGAATTCATTACAAGAAAGGAAGAAGAGATATTTCAGAAAATAGAATTCAGTCATCATTTTGATAGAAATTAAAAGGGCCTATTACTCTCTGCTGGCAAAGATGTACTTACATAAATATTTCACACCCTAAGGCAATTCATCCAGTCTTATCTACTAGGGTGTCTCAAAAGTTCTTGTGCATATATGTACGTTTTATTTGATGACATGTTTCGGAATAGAACTTAATTTGGTTGTATATGTCCTATCTTGAAGTGCGTGTTAAGGTGTGGATTAATATCTATCGTTGTTGTACATTTAGTCTCATTTAGGATAATTGTAGCATCCAGAATGGCTGAAGAGAAACTTGCACTTCAGGTACTGTTGCGCCACTACTGGAAAAAAGGCTTGAGTGTGAAGGCGGCTGCCGAAAAAATCTGTGCAATCAAAGGCGAAGGTGTGGTCCACAGAAACACCGCAGCAATTTGGTTCAAACGCTTCAGCGAAGGAGACACCAGCCTCGCGGACAAACCTCGCTCGGGACGACCATCTGTTGTGGACAACGAGGCCCTTCGCGCCATGGTGATGGAGCAGCCACATGCCAGTACCCGTGAATTGTCAGCAGCACTTGGCCCTTCCAAAGACTCCATCAATCGCCACCTGCACCAGTTGGTGCAGGTGGCGTACGTACATACATACAAAAATGTACAAATACAGAACGTACATATATGCACAAGAACTTTTGAGACACCCTAGTATATTATCAGGGAATTTCATTCTTTGGACTTATCTATTTCTGATAGCGGGAGTCCTTTCAGCTGTGTAGATCAAAGAACAGAGCTAACAGTGCCAACAGCATGCAATCTGCAAATATGTGCTATAGCACTTAGGTTTTAACAGAGCCTAGATAATTTTACCAGTTTCTTACCAAGCCCATTTCACCATGGAGAATTTGTTCAACCTGTTCTTCATCCACTGGTGACTGTGGTCCTGGGCTTGTCAGTGAATTGGGTGCTTCCTAGACATAAATTACAAAAGCTTTCACATTTGAGATCCGAAGCCCCATAAACAAAAGAAGTAAAAGATGCCAGTAGTACAAAACAAACCCAATTGATGTGATTGGGCACATTTGGTGGGAATCGATGATGAACATCATCTATGAACTCCTTGCCCTTAACAAGATTAACATAACGGCATTTGGGATACCAGCGTGTGTGCTCTATCCAGGGATCATCCTCTGGCTCCCAGTCCTTCAGCCCTCCACTGCAGTCAAAGCATTTCACATGGTCTGACACACCTGTTGCAAAACACAGAAAATGATAATAAATTTAATGAAAGGAAAGAAATATACTCTTTGTAGGAAATACAAACTACTATCAATGAAAAGTAGCAGAAGGATGTACTACAAGCCAACTACTAACTTTGAGTCTAATTCAAATAATAAGCTAAGTTACCAGACTTACTCTTATGAATTGCTCACATATGGAGCCATGTAAAACCTACTGGGTCACTCTACACTCAAATCCATAGGATTGTATGCTTCAAGCTCGTAAGTGCACAGACAAGCATCATCAACATTGGACAACAAAGGGCATAACTGAAAACTGACCTATGTAAAAAAGGCCAGCATCGGCCAATTGTTTCGGTCGCTGTGGCATGCTTTTAGGCCAGGAATCAAAGGACCTCATTCGTGCCTCTTCCGTTGCATATTCTGGATGATGAGGTTCACCATACTTCTGAATACCCAGTCTTTCAAGGTCCTGTGGGCTCCCTCCCCTTAGGGTCACCCGGGAACTTGACCCAGTCTGCCTCACACCTGACCAATAAACACCCTTCTTGTTAGTGTTTAAGCCTTTCACAAGTATTGGAGAAAGGAAGCATGTCTTTTCTTACCTTGTTGAGGGCCATGAAGTTGTTCAATTGTGAAAGTGCCACAGACATCATATCCACGATGCCCATAGTCATGATCTGAAAAAGAATACATACAGGGTGTTTTATATATAACTGAACTGACTTAGATCCTCCCTGATAAATAAGAAACACAGAACTTGGTACATGATATACCTCATTTTAATGCACAATTATAACTCATATTAACTATTTAAATAATTAAAAAATTTGTTTGCCATTATTGTCTAGGCACTTCTACAACCATCCTTGCATGGAAGGGCACACATTTTGGCACAGGTCTTGACTGATTCCCTGCAAAACCTGTCTTTCTTTGTTTTATATTAGTTCATGAAAGGCTACCAGTTCCTGAGTATAAATCCTTTCCTTCACTATGTCCCATTAAAAAAGTCTGGGGAAAAAAGCTATGTGGGAGACAAGTTCAGTTCAACAGAGGCACATCTGACCAATTTGTGGGGGTTATGTGCAAATGATGTCATTACAATTCCCAGTGCCTCTTCTATATGAACATATCACTTTCTACTTGAACAAGAAAAGTTGGTAAAACTTCCAGCTTTGTTGAAAAACGTAGACAGGAATTTACTTCCCATGTAGGAGGATCATAACCAAATAGTCAGTCTCACTGCCTTTAAACCTTATCTACATTTTCTACATCTACAATAGAAAAGCACTGAACACACCACACTTATTCTACCTGTCAAACATTTCACCATATACCTACACCAACACAGCTGAGTTGTGCATTTGAAGTATTAAATGACATATATTGCATTTTGATTCACTCAATATGATACGTAATGTTGGTTTTATACTGGTAAGTTCAGACAAACCAACGGATACTTTGTGGTAAATAGACCTCACTTACGTTTAAAATATATTACAGTATTCAAGTATAACACGACCCTAATGTCAGTGTATGTCTTTAAAACTTCATGGTCCACTTCTGGGAATAGGTAATGTAAGGCCCTAAGTGTACTGCATCCATGAATATGCATCTAAAACAAATGGCAACACTGAAAGCTACAGAAAGGGAGTATTAGGAATGCATGATTAAAATTGCTTTTTGCCTTTACATGCCATAAGTTGAGCTGAGGTGTGTAGAACACAAGCAGTGTAGAATTTTATGCTATATGCTTGAACAATCCTGAAAGATATATAGTAAACATTTAAGGTCTCAAAGAGTGTTTCCTTCTACTTGCACCACTTGGGCACATCACATCTCATATCACACACTCCACTTCTATTGAGCAACTATACCTTGCCTGGGTCCATTTTGAATGAACAAAAGTTATACTATGCATTACAACCAAAATATGACCATTCAAGTCTGTTTGGTTGCCTATGAAACACCATTTATCTGGAGTGAATGCAAATTTTATATAATGTCATAAGTTCATATTGTGCTGGGATTACATAGTGTATGTCTTTAAAACTTCATGGTCCACTTCTGGGAATAGGTAATGTAAGGCCCTAAGTGTACTGCATCCATGAATATGCATCTAAAACAAATGGCAACACTAAAAGCTACAGAAAGGGAGTATTAGGAATGCATGATTAAAATAGCCTTTTGCCTTTACATGCCATATGTTGAGCTGAGGTGTGTAGAACACAAGCAGTGTAGATTTTTTCTGAATTCAATAAGCAATATATGCTGACTACCTGAACTGAAGAAATGTAGAGATTTGTATGTAAATAAGAATTTTATGCTATATGCTTGAACAATCCTGAAAGATATATAATAAACATTTAAGGTCTCAAAGAGTGTTTCCTTCTACTTGCACCACTTGGGCACATCACATCTCATATCACACACTCCACTTCTATTGAGCAACTATACCTTGCCTGGGTCCATTTTGAATGAACAAAATTTTTTGCTCATATATATTTTTTCTTATTGTTTTTATTTTTTCATAGATGCAATTCTTGTTTATTAGCCTTGACAAAGCAATCATATGTTTGATATGAAGCAAAAGAATCTTAAAATATTGTTTGTGATTCTTGTAGTATTACATTTTTTATACAAGTAGGATTATAAAAGAAACTAATTTATAAAAGAAACTTTGCTGGGTCCTTGATAGTTCACACATCTGAGTCACCAGAAAATGGGAATACCATAGTTTCCCGAGTTCTACCACAATACAGGGGTTAAGGGTGACCAAAACAACTAAGACAAGTTCACCTCAGAAATTTTATACTGGACTGCTCATCCCCAAGAATTATCAGGCCCACAATAGTCTTTGTGCTTTCTGAGCAACCTATAAGCTAACTACTGGGACCAGCCAATCTGAAGCAGGTTTCTGGTGCATTTCTAGGTGCATTGGACCTATTGTGTTATATCCATGTCTATCGGTCAGCTTGCCACTGACCTAAATGTACATTTGGCACAATACCACAGCGGCAGACAAGGAATAGAACCAAGGGAGAACTACCTAGGCATCAGGCTCTACCTACTTTTCTGTGTAAGAATGAAGGATGCCTATAAGCCCCTGGCTGGCTAATGGCATTAATGAATGGAAGTGAGCGAGTCACTCTGATGGGTCTAAGATTCAATTGAGTTGGGGTCTTTGCTGTCATTAAGGTATTTGGGTCAAAGAATTAGTAGGACTTTAATGCAATCCTCAAATATGTGGAAGGGTCCCAAGATAGGATCCAGGATGGTAACCTTGTTTCGCCAATGAGAACCTTCAATGCTTGTATAAGAAAAGATTAAGCTTCCTGTCATGGCATGATAGGTCATTTTGGAGAAGTCACACTGAATGACAAAAAGGGATGAGATTTCTGAGCTAGCCAAGGCCAGACCATATGCAGTTTGACATATATGTAACCATGAGCACCTATTGGTGATCATTGCTTTCAATGCCTCTGCCCACCTCATAATTCTTCATGGATAAGTTTCCTATAAACAGGGGTCATGCTATACTTCTAATTGAAGAGTGACAAACCAATTCCAGTTTCTACTTTAGTCAGACCCATGACCTCATAGACCAAAGGGATTCATGAAGATATTGGAATTCTAGGCCACAAAAGCAATAGAAAAACAGCGACCCAATCTATCAAGTGCAATATTCCCAGGAAGTATATAATAGTTGGGAAGTAAAATTCCTCCATCTCCCTTTCCTTGATTTCACAAAACAGAAACTCAGCATTGTATGATCATGATCTGTTATATCATCATAATGGGCATCACACAGAGTCTAACCAAAAGGAAAATATCAGAAATAGCTTCCCACAATTCAGCATGGATGGACATGTCTTCCAAACCCTTGCCTGTAGTTTCTGGCCAGCTACCTCTACCAAAAAGATTGCCAACCTAATCACAGCAGCTAGACCTATCATAAATGTTGGCAACAGCAGAGCCTACAACCTTTCTTGTGCATGAATTTGTGAACCACTGCTCAGAGTTGTGAATTATGGGAAAGAAAAAAAGTTAAATATGAATTGGATTTGTGGTCACCATAGTATAAGAAGTTTAATTTAAAACAAGAGTAACTTCATAGCACTTGTGCATCAGTTTATGGAAAACTCAACATACTTCAGCAAAGGGCATTCAAAAGCAAAAAATCATGTTTGTAATTTTATGTTTACAGGGTCACCTTCCAAGAAGAAGAACCTATTAAAATTTCTTATGTTAATTGAATGGCAACAGCAAAAAATCAGTGCTTTCTTTCTTACCATGATAGCTCATAATAGAAGGAAGTTGGATATGGAAAAGACACCCATTTAGTAATCTCACCTCTGTGATTGGATGCAAAGGCAGGAGATCGTGATGTAGGTTCAACAGGCATGTTCCCACAGTAGTCATTCCTTCTTGTTAGAGCAGATATTATTGGAACATTGCCAACTGGAAGCTGACGAATGAATGGGCACCTTACAGAATGCTGTCGATGCTCTACTTCTGGCTCATCTCCTTCTTCCCATTCTCCAATGATCACACGGCAAAACACACACTGGACCCTGTCACGGTCAAGCAAGAAAAAGAAACCAGACTTGGCCAGGTCCCTTGGTCGAATGTATATAAGAGGCCAGTCATGGAATGTCTTCAGTCTATCAGATTCGCTTTTCAGGTTTCTAACACCCAAGTTCTTATACTTTTGTATCAGTCGAGCTAGCACCACTTTTGCATGTGAATATCCATTTGATGGTGAGGGTTTTGAGGGTTCACGATACAAGGAGTTGAATCGACCCTCTGATGTTGAAGGGGCAGCATGATCAGACTCCAAAACTGATGATTCATGCAGTGGCCATGTAGAAGACTGAAATGGACTGCCACCTTTCAATGTCACTTGAGTTGATGTTGCCACTGCTTCCGTCCTCTTCTCATAGTCTTTGGCAATTATACGTGTTCCTGGTTCCATGTTCTGCAAGTTCTCTTCTATTGTGATGTTCTCCATTCTCAGGTTGACAAAATCACAGTCTGAATTCTTAAATAGGTGCTTATTGTTGGGATCGTCACCCTGCAGCCAGTCCTCAATGATTATACCGCACGTAAAACACTTAGTTGCTAAAGCACTGCCTGTATAGCATAACCCAGCCCGGGCTAAAAGCAAGGGCTTTACTGGTGCCATTGATGGGTAATTCCAAAATGTAAGGAGACGGTTAAGTTCATATTTCATCTCTCCATCGGGCAGATGTATCTCGACTGATCCCTGCATCTCTGATAAGTCTTCGCTGGTCATAGTAGAATTGGATTCTTCATGCTCATGAGAATTCAGATTGGTAAAGTCATGAACTGATGATACCTCCTCTCCTGCTCCTTTATGAGGTGAATTGCCACCATCTGAAACAGCCAAAGGTCATCAACTCTTATTTTGAACATAACATTATTATTTGTATCATATCCCTAAATTACATCCAATAATTGATATCATTTTACCTTTATAGATCAAGTGGCTATTATCGACAGTACATATTATGAGAAATGAGAAAATGCCCCCAAGTTCAAACTCACTAACCATCACTCTGATAGATGTTGCTTGATGTTGACGAAACCAAATTTCATACGAATTCATCCAGCCAAAGGGATGTTCTAAGAGGCTCAAAACAAATCAGAAACTAAAAACCATACAAGAGATTCCTGACCATTCATTGCACCTATCAGCTTGTTTTGAGTAAAAGTAATTATATTAAAAAAAAGAACTAATAGCTAACTCTCTTTATTGACATGTCTTGATTTATCAGTTGACAAGAAAAACTTAATCCAAAGCATGTGCAACAAAAGGCCATAAAATAGTGAATATATAATAGTGAATATTCAAAGAATAAATGTGGAATAGACACTTGAACACTTTAATCTCCACAACAAGCAGCCAACAGAGCACATGTAGGCATGATCTTCACTGAAGTGAAAATCATGCTTACATGAGTCCTAGGGCAGTCCTTTAAGTATTTTACTGCTCTTACATAATGGCTCATAAGCTTGACTTTATACAGGATGAATTGTGTGAAATATCTCAAGCATGTTGGGAACATAGCCTATGTGCAGTATAAGTTTGGCAGCAAATAGTTCCCAAAGGCACAATATCTATACTCAAATTTGGGATTTTTGGAGGGAATTTTTTTCCCATGCCCTGAGGTGCAGAACCTGCTAGCAAACTTGGACTTCATTGGTCTGATAGACACTATGTAAGGTACCTTGGCTCAGTAGGCGGATACTGGCCACTATAGCTGGGGGCCAAGAACTCACTTTTCTACTTTTATTCTGCCTGCAGCCTTTTATACATCCATGAGCTGCATTGCATTGTACCTCCAAAATAAGCATGACCTCTGCTATGTGAATGCACTCCCATGGGCCATGAATCAAGAGGTCATATGTTCTCAGCTAAATAAAACTACAGTGTTTTTCACTTCAGTTAGACAATTTTTCACTTGACTTCGACAACGGTGCATGGTGAGGGTGATATAGCGGATCGACGCAGAAACTAGGAGCTCCATACTTGAGTGCAGATGTCGTGATGACACACTTGACTAAGACACCGATGCGAGGGGTATTCAGAGAGGAGGCGAGGGTGCTGGTGCCCCTGGTGACTAGCGACATCTTTCTTTCCTTTGAATATTTAGGCTTTTTCATATGAATCAAACTATGTACTGGAAACAATGAACCGCATGCATAGCCGTGTTGTCAACGGGAGACCTTCATTGCAGTCTATTTAGATAAAAAGGTTCTAAGTTTTCGATTTTCCATCGGCTGAACGATGTAGAAACACTGGATCGGACTTCAATGGGCATTCCCAGATCCATGTTAGATAGGCCTAATCCAGCCTACGTGAGTTTGGCATGGGGAATGATACTTCAGAACCCAGAAACGATGCCCAAAACTTCATCTGTTTTATTGAAATATTAAGGAAAACAGTAATGGGTGACATGAAAGCCTAGTTTTTCACTACGACATTAAATTATCATTTCAATATATTGTGTATTAGGGAAGCTTCACAGTGGTTTTCCTCTCTTCAGCAGGAAATTAATCATCATCGTTGTCGCTGATGTCATCACGACATCTGCACTTAAGTATGGAGCTCCTAGTTTCTGCGTCGATCCGCTATATCACCCTCGCCATGCACCGTTGTCGAAGTCAAGTGAAAAAATGTCTAACTCAAGTGAAAAACACTGTATAACCAATATCCCCAATTTGCAGTTTGGCCACATTGCACTGTCTTGCCTCGAGAAGAATGTCATCCAATATTACCCTCTAATGATCTACACCCTCCACTGACACTTCTTTTTTGCACATATTACACCTCAGAACATATGTACACTGCCCCTAAATATACTTAGCAGAATCTCAAAAATGCCCTAGAGATGGATGCTGAAATATGTGTCTAAAGTGGTAACTGTGACACTATTTTCATTCCATTCTATGTTTCAGTTTATTCCATGTCTGGAAAGTAAAATGGATGAACATTTCTAGGTGTCCATTTTTGTAAGAGCCACTAGTCTGAATCAGCTTGGGGTCCAAGTAACTGCTTTGGTGCAAAGCAGGTGTCTACCCGACTGATGAACCCTACAAATTTTATTGATGGACCTGTGCAAGCAATACTTTCCATAAATATGGGGCAATTGAAGCCCTGCAGAAGCACTCATGCAAAACTTCTGTGTTCAACATGTAACCATTTTTTCTGAGTAACTCCACTTGCAACTTCAAGCTGCCACCATCTTGACCAAAACATGGAGATGCCCATGTTGATGTTATGCCTCATTGTGAGTTTCATTGAGTTTTTATTGACGGCCTATCGGCCTACCGTAATCCTGATGTTAATTTGATGCCACCAAAACTTAGACTTATTGTTAGGCCTAGGCCCAGGCCAAACGATAAGCTAGGCCTACAAGAGCCTAACTTAACGTTAGACCGATGATAGCCTTGTCCTACACACCAGAATGAGCCACATCTTCGGCAGAAGGCATCACTTGTGGCACTGTCGCTAACGAGTTATTTCGAGAACCAGGATTGGCAGAACATCGTATGAACCAGGTAGACTGCGTTACAAAATATAGGAGGGGGAGAGCAATGCAGAGTCACAGCAGAACGCAGTTTCGCAAGCGAAGAGAAGCTCCATCTCCATAAAGGACCTGGATGCCAAATCCTACGTCTGGTTTTGCGTGACGTATTCCTCACTACCACTTCCTCCCATCAAATTTAGCATCCACGTACATTAAAGTCATGAATAATAAAAGAGAACTGGCATTTTGCTGCAGTGAGGGTCCGCAGTTCAGCGAATTAGCGTCGCAGTGCACGGAAGAAGATGGGTAGAATAGGATTGGAAGGAGAAACAAGGACATCGAGCATCTGCGCCGCAGTCAATAGGAGAGAGAGAGAGAGAGAGAGGGGGGGGGGGGGGGGGGGGCAGGGAGGGTAGTTGGCCGCATTCCTTGCCTGGCAACTAACACTGGCCATGGCTAGCTTTTCGCCGACGTCATTCCTTCCTAGCCCTGAGGCCATGGCTTTTCTACGAACTACCCGGCCGTCACTCAAAATAATCTGCGCGACAGTGACACATTGGAGACAGGCAGTAGTTGTAGCCGATGACAAGTGAACTAAGCAGTGGGGAAAGCATGGCTGCCTACCCTTTGGTGCTGCGTTGAAGCTCAGTTTCCGTATATTCCCCGCAAAGACAACAGCTTACGAAAAACATGAGGCCGCGAGTCCTTTTCATAGACAAATTCCTTTCACCATGATGGAATGATGGGAGGTCATCCTAATCTATGGAGTTTACACGAAGCCAATTTAGGAAATTATATTTCAATCGAGACCTATGCTGGCTCCGGACACATTTTATACAAGACATATGTTCGAGTGCTTCTCCCAGTCTATAAGGTCTAGATCAGGGGTGCACAACTCAAAAGGCTGTGAAGGCCATTTGCGATGTTTACTCACCTACCGCGGTCCGCAGTCTGGCTGACCATAGCAGTGGCCAACAGGACAGGAGCCATAGTAGCACTTACAATGCCACCAGTCATGGCGGGCCATTAGCAGGGGCCTCGCGGGCCGTATGTTGTGCACCCCTGGTCTAGATGAACAATAGGGAAAGTGCATTTTCTTGACGCTTTTCCACTCGTTCATTCAACAACAGGGATGAAGTTTTCTCCACAATGAACTATGTTTAGAATAATGGAATAAGTTCGTTCTCGAGAGGATTTCGTATATAAGTGACACTTTAGTCCAAAGTTAGGCATTTTCACCACAGCTCACGATGGCGAGCGAACCGTGCCATCCCCATTCCGTAATTTTTTCGAATTTCGTAGACCGCGCTCATTGACCCTTGTATGCCGCCATTATATCGATAGATTTGCAAAAGTCCCTGCGAGTGGTCGCGTTCGGAGGAACCCCGGGAACGTCAACTTCATTGCTTCTGTACCAATATCATTTCAAGAGCCCGTTCAGTAGTTCTTGTAGTACCGGTACTCAGGGCCACCCAGAGGTTTCCAGAGGCCCGGGACAAAACTAAACCGGAGGGTCCTTGGGGGTCCCCTTGAAGCCCCTTTGATACGCGAGGCCCGGAGCAGATTGTCCCCGATGCCCCCCCCCCCCTCTGGGCGACCCTGCCGGTACTGGAAATGGACAAGTAAATATGTAAGAGGCCCTGCAATGGTGGTACCTATTGCACAAGCGCCTACCACTTTTACGATCTGTCAGGTCAAGTAGTACCACCCTCCATCCTAAATTGAAAAGAAACCCTTGCAGAAGTATGTGCCTCAGAAACTGCCTGGCGAGTACTAGAAACTTGGTACTGATACTCTGGAATCTCAAGATTGAAGTATGAAGATAAGACCGAACGTGCCTCTTTCAGAGAGTATGCGCAGCAACGGTGTTCTCTGCGATTTAAAGCTGATGGAGCGTGCATGAACTGAAATTGGTATTAGTCTTGTGAAGCTTGCGGGTCGACCCGAAAATTTCAAGACCGCGGGCCACTTAGTGTCATAATTCTTGAAGTCTTTCGGAGTTGCATCGGGTCTATTTTCCCTCTTTTTTATATTTTAAATCTAAGCTGAGATCATGGACAGCCTGCGTCCGAACTGAAATCTCATTTACGGATGTAATGCACGAGAAGAAGAATATAAGGCCAGAGACGGAGGAAAACCTCGATTACGCTTCACAACATGAAATGAAGAGGCCTAGGGGTTTCGAACTATCAGTAGGTCAAAGAGCGCAAAATTACATCACCATGTCACTCTGAAATAAGGAGAAAAACATGGGCTCTGTTTTGCTTTTTTCTTTCTCGAGTCTGATCGGATCGAGCCGAGGAATTATGTTGGCTTTCGGGTTTCGAGTTGAGTGCGGGTCAAGACTTAAATCGGGCCGATCGGGTTGGATTCCAAAAATCGGCCTGTTCAAAGTACTAATTGGTACAAGATGTCGCTCCCTCATTTTGTAGCATGAGTTTAGGTAGTCTGTGAATGGATGTAGGGGTTACGTGTTATAGTCATCCCTCCGCTTGGCACGAGACACCAGCCCCTCTAGCGCGCACCATCCTCAGTTCTGTGCATTTAAAATCCTGTCGCATGCATCCGAACTTTCCAAACAGAATTCCTTTCTTGTATCCAAAGAAAAATGCGACCGCTCAACTGATGTGGTCACACGAGGGACCTCGATCTTCCCCCACGGGGGGTGGGGGAAGATCCTCTGCTACTATCAAAGGAAATAGTACGTCCTCTCCTGCAGACATAATGGTCTTCTGCTCTCAACTGCGCCGATCATAGTTCAAATTTCTCACATAGTTCAGGCTTCTCGAGTACTTGATAACAATTAGATAACAGAAAATCAATGAGTACTTTCACGTGTTACCTTGAGTACTTCATTCAGTTCGATCGAAGCGGACGACATAAATCCCTCATTCCGTTAAAATTCAACACTTTCAATTGCGAAACTGCGCGCTAATCTTTGTAATACAGAGCCTTGACCTTACGACCGGTAAGTAGAAGCTCATATGTAAGCCTCCAAGCTAACGGGTGTATTACGATTGCTTCGCGACTTCCTCGTTTTGGAAAGTAAAACATGATTCACGACACAGAGACACTAAAATTCAGTTGAATTTCTGTTTCGGAGAGATCCGTTTCCACAACGCCGAGATAAGCTGTGAGAAGATCCGGCTTAAATTTACACATGGTTTATCAACTTAAATCCCACAACGGTCGCTCCCTTATCACGGATTCCCAATTTTGCAGCAGGAAAACCCAGGAAAAACGAAAAAATTTTAATATAGCCAAACCCTGTAGCTAAGTATACTTTCTACTTGAATAGCGATTAGTATAATAGTGATTAGTAATAGAGAAAGGAATGATTCTCACCCACGCCGTCGGTGATGGAGATGCAACCGATGACACCGCCCATGGCATCGTCCTGGAAACAAAAAAAATAAAGGAAGATAATGAAGTCCATGACATTCTCGGTCATTCACTTCGCTTCAAATTCCATTTCCCTGGATAAATCCTGTTCGCTTTTTCAACTCGGTTCATATGTACTTTGAAGACGAAATGCGATGCTATACACTCTACCGTAGATGTAACAAGGTCTGCTGTCTGACGTAAATATTTTCTAAATTCGAGGAAGTCTTAATCTTTCCAAAGAGATGAAAAAATTTTCGAATTTCTATCAGCCGAGTTAGTGCAGGAGAAGCTTATAATGGGCAACTCAAACATTCCAGACTGATTCCCCCCCCCCCCTTTTGACTAGAAATCAATCCCAGTTGTCTGAGAACCACTCGTGCGATGGTGCAAAAGGCTTAGTCCATGAAAGGCTTCTTGAGTGAGAGATTCAAGAAATTCGGCATTCATTTTTCTCGAAATGCAATACCAAACAGAAAATCTCAATCACTTTCGTGGGGAGGAGAAAATTGATTCTCAAATCTGATATTGCTCATCCTTTGTGCTTCTATCCTCCATTTCGGTTCATTTAAGATTTTGAATGAAAGTTAAATTTAAAAATGGTATATGAATTGTGCTCATTTTTGTGAGAAATGACTTGACAACAAAGATTGGAGCAAGAAATAAAAGTAGCCGTCTGGGTGGAACACGGAAGACAGGATTCGAGCCGGAATTACAGGAAACTCCCAAGGCGGATGGAAAAGCCCTCGAGCGTGCTGCTCAACCTTGGATAAAATGCTTTCGCATCGATGGAGAGTTCCTTCGGGCCCTTTAATTCCACAGAAGTCGATCGTGAATTGTCAAAAATAATTTTTAGAGACATACAAGAGACATTCTCTCTTGTCCTAGCTGCTCGATAGAAATGGAATTTGAAATGATAACGTGAATAATGGGACACCACCGTAAATGCGCAGCAGAGGCAGGCCGCAGCACATATAAGGCAGTTTCTCATCCAGTGCCAGGAATATCACATGACATTCCGCAATTTAAACCATTAGGAGATGCGGCGCGGCTTCAGTCCCAACATGGCAAGGCCTCTCCCTTATGTAGTCAACGGCTGGGATGTTGTGAGGCTTCTCCGAATCGTGAATCACTGTATAAAGCCTCAACTGCGTCCTTTTTTTAAGATAATAGGCAGTAACTTTGAGGACATGAATCCCACGGTTCAAAGTTCAAGGTCAGGGTTCATGATGCCACATGCCATCGCACGAGAAGTAAGTTACTTATCAAAGTCCTTGAAGAGAATGATCTTCAACCTTGATCTTTCGCGCTACGATAACTGTGGATTGATTTCCGTCATTTCAGAAGCATAATTTTCGAAAATTGTTCACTTCGAGGAATGCAGGAAGGATTGCGGATATCTACTTGGGAAAGAAAAGGTTAGTTGCGATTCTCCCAAGCGCCTCTGTGAAAAAACCTGTTTAATGCGGTACGTGCTTGTGATATATCCTTCGATGTTATTTGGAGTCCGGGGTACCTCGTAACCCTATAGCTCTTCTACGAAAGAGTCTGTATGAGTCACAGGATATGTTTGTTTCACGCCCCCTTTCCCCCTGACAACCGACAGGCTGAGATGGTGCAATACGGACGTAACTCAGGGCTCGATCGATCGGAGGTTCAGTCATCCAGATGTAGAGCGAGGGGGAGAGAGCAGCGATCCGTGGTCCGATCGACAGTCAGAGCCAGACTGGCGAAGAGAAGGTGGGGGGGGGGCTGACTCATTCCAGGACATGGCCAAGGGCAAGGACGAGGAAAAAGGGGCATTCTCACTCCTTCACGAACTTCTTTCCTTGTGTGCTGAACAGGAATTCCTAGGTTTGGAGTCTCACATACGGAAACCTTCCCAAGAGAATTTTCCTTTAGAAATGCCAGGTTGTGGTGGGCGGGGGAAGGGGGAGGGGGGGGAGGGAGTGAGTTGCTAGTGGTTGCAGCAAGAGACGGCTTCATGTCCGTACTCTCTATTCTTATTCCTGAACCAGGGATGTCATTTCCAATGTCTTGCATTCTGAAAGTATGACGAAACTAGACTCAGCACCCTTTTCACTTCTCGGCATCTTCCCGTGCTTACTCGCGCGGGTTCTCAAAGTTCGGGTAACTATGAGGAAATGCCTCAGATACTGCCTACGACTGGATATGGTTGTGCTTCTCTTTCCCTCGTAGCTTCTGCTTCTATCTAATTTTCATTATGCGTTTTAGAGAGAGTCAGAGTATCCTTTAAAAAATAAACGATGAGCCAAATTTTTAATGACAAGAGTAGGCAATTGAACATACATCATAATCTTGACCTCTTCATCTCTTCGACCGGAACCGAACCCGAACAAAAAAAAAAAAACAAATCATGGGATCAGAATCAATTTGAAATGGCATATTACTGGCCGTTTCTGCAAGGATGATTCAATCCCGTGACTCACGACATCAGACTCAGAATTCACAAGAACAGGGTGCTCCAACGATGTGATGTAGCAAAATTCGAGGGCAGACGTCTCGTCTCAAACAGTAGTTTGAAAGTATGACTTGCAGGGGGATACATCCGTCGTGAGTAGTACTCCTTGTACAGTAGTAGTTCATTTTTGTAGCCGAGCTGCCTTTCTCTCTAC